AGAGTGGAGGCCCATGCCAAGAAACACCCTGCTTGCCTCCGGGGTGCCCTGGGCTTCTCGTGTTTCGCTGGTTTTGCCACGGGAAGCGTGACACTCCCACACCAACAGTCGATGGACGTCCTGGGGTCTCCAGACTGGGCTTCTCGTGGAAGGCTTCTTGCGGTCGGGCCCCTACTGTAGGGAGGAAGAGTGGGAGGACAACATGGATGAGGTGCAGGAGTAGGAACATCCGCAACAGAGGAATCCGAAGAGGAACGGCTGCGGCAGGCGCAGCGGGACGAGAGGGAGGGCGATCGAACCTGGAGGAGGAGGGGTCTTCGAGCAGCCCCGGCAGCCAGTGAAGCACCGACGCGACGCAGGGCAGTCGGGAGAGGCGTGGGGGGACACGCGCTGTCGCTCCAACTCCAAGGTGGGGTGCCCGCGGCGCGGTGGCTGGGGGGGCCGGCCAGCGACGGAGGGGAGGGGAGAGGAGCGGGAGCTGCCAGATCGCGCGCGTTGGCATCGCGGTAGTCACCACCCACCAAACCACCCCAACCCAACGCGAAGGCTCAGCTTTACCCTCGATTTCAAGGGGGGGGGGGGGGTCGGGAAACATCGAAAAAACACGCGTGGAACCCTTACCCCCCCCCCCACCCGAAATTCGGGTCTTCGGGTTGGGTTGGGGTGGTCTGGTAGGTAGTCAGGTAGTTGTCGCGGTGGGCGTCGGGGGGGATGTTCGGACGTTCCCCCCTCTGGCCTTGGAGTCGGGCGTGTCCCTCTACAGGAGGACTCTCCACAAAGAGTCGCAGAAATAGTATGGGGGCGATCTTTCCGTACTGTTTCGAGTTTTTCTGGATTTTGTGGGGTATTCTTAAGCGTTCGTCCCAAATCCGCCTGTCGGGGGACATGCCCGACCTAATTCTAGCCAGGGAGGTCCTCTCCAGAGCAGGTTTGCTGTATCATGGGGGTGGGCCAGTCGGACGGGCCGCTTTCGGCCCTGTTCGCCTCGGCGTCGGGGCGTCCACGCCCCCAAGATGGGGAGAGGATGCTGTGTGTGTGTTCCGCGATTCGGCTCACGCGTGCCGGGCACACCTCGCGCATGCCGCAGGGGGCGCAGCACCATGCAGCAGCACGGGCTCTGGCCCTTGCTCGCTGGGGGCCCGGAGCACTGTCCCGGCTTCTCCGCTGCCTGGGTGGAGGTGCCCGTGGTGTTTGCCGCCTGTCTGCGCCCTCCTCATCCTCCTCCTCCTCCTCCTCCTCCTCCTCCTCCTCCTCCTCCTCCTCCTCCTCGTTCTCCTCCTCCTCCTCCTCCTCCTCCTCCTTCAACCTCCTCGTTCTCCTCCTCCTCCTCCTCCTCCTCCTCCTCCTCCTCCTAACCTCCAACATGTCCATCCTCGTCTCTCCTCTGCGCCCTTCTTCATCACGCGCAGCCGAAGAGCACGCAGGGTTACGCATTCGAGTGTACCTTTTGGCCTTGCAGATCACGACGCGCTGCGGCACGTCGCGCCCACCTCAGCTGGCGCTCGACGCCGTGCAACCAACATTGGGTTCGTTGTGCCGTTGCGATCGATTTTTCCGTCGGCGCGGCAGCACCAGCACTGCTGTTTTGGCCCTGCTTGAGACGTAATGCAACTCTTCATCGTCCGCAAACGTCGCATCACGCTTGCGGCTGGTCCTGGTGCATGATGTGGGCGAACGAGGCAGGGGTGAGCTGAAGCGGATTGCCGGGACGGAGCGTCTTTCGGGTTCCAACGCGGGTTCCGTTGTGCAGAACTGCGATTGTTTGCCATGAGAGGTTCAGGAAGGGAAAAAACACAGACACAATTCATCGTCGATTCCCCCGAAAATGTGGGAAAATATGGGAAGTGGGGGGGGGAAGACAGAAACCCCGAACATATGGGAAAATTTGGGGAATCCTTTTATTCGTGTGTATTTGTTTGTGTGTCCCAGGGCCCTCCAGAGGCTTCCTGTGTGGGAGGGGCGCGAACGGGGGATGGTGGCCTGGAGCGGGGAGGCGGCGAGCGGGTCCACGACCGCCCGCCCGCGCGAGTGCAGCGCTCGTCCTGTCCCCGTGCGCTGTTCTGGTCGGGAGCGCGGAGGGCTCACCGGCCTCGAACCTATCCCCTATTCCCTGAGATTGGCTCGGGGATGGACAGAACCCCCAACAGTGACACGTCGATTAGTGAATTGTCCGTTTTCGGTTCTCGAGAGGGCGCCGTGGCCGTGATTTTCCAGGCGTGCGCCCGCCGGGTTTGGGCCTCGGGTCGTTTTCACTAAACCACGTTTTACTAAAGGGGGTTCTGTCCATCCCCGATACGCGAAAAGGCGAGGACTATCCTAGGGGTGCGCCCTCAGAAACGGGGAGGGGGCCCCCGAGATCGGCATCGTGAGGAGGCGATGCCCAGGGATCTGTGCTCCAGGCTGGTGGAGAGGGCGCGGTCGCAGAGTGCCTCGGGGGCAGGAGATGGCCATGGCCACCGCGAGCGCCCTGGACAAGAACCGCATCCAGGCCCCGCGCGGGGTCGGGCGGAGGGGCGGAGGGCGGAGGGGCGGCCCCGCGCGGCCCCCGGGCGCTCACTCCCCGGGTGCGCGGCGCCGCCCCCCGCAGCCGCGGCGGGCGCAGCGCGGCCGCAAACGGCCACGAGGTGCCCTGCCGTCGGGGGGGACGCCTGCCCGCAGGGGCGGCGGGAAAGCTTGCGCCCCATCGTAGGGGTCCGCCCTGGCCTCCCAGGAGGGCTAGGAGAAGAGCACCCGACGTAAAGACAAGCCTGTCCCAGAGCTAGTCTACGTCGTGGTTCTATAAGCTGTTTCGCTCCGTGTTTTAGCTTTTAGGCCTCCCGTGCTAAAAGATAGCTCTCTGGAAGGTCAGGGTAAGTTCTCCAGCCGTTCTGGGGCGGGCGGCCCCGACGGCGGAAGAGCTTCTGCGACACCGTTTTTCGCCCGCTGAACCTCTGCGCACTGGCGCGCGGGGGGGGGCGCAGAGGCCTCGGGGGCCTGTCCGGGAGCTCTCCCCGAGACCCGGGGGGGGGGGAGGGTGGAGGGTGTCTCCGAAGGGTTTGGGCGACCCGGCCTCCTCCTCGCTCCTCTTTTCTCCTCCTCCTCCCCACCCTCCTCCCTCCTCCTCCTCCCCCTCCCTCTCCCTCTCCTCCCCTCTCTCCTCCTCCTCCTCCTCCTCCTCCTCCTCCTCCTCCTCCTCCTCCCTCTCCTCCTCCTCCTCCTCCTCCTCCTCCTCCTCCTCCTCGGGCCGCCCACGGCCCCCAGGGGAAACCGGGCACGGGGGGGGGGGCATCCGGGTCCTTCGGAACGCGGGTGGCGAGGGCCGCTCCGACGGCGGTTGGGCCGATCCCTCGGCCCCCCCTTGGCCGACCCGGGCCTCTGGGAGCCACCGGGGCACCCCGAGGGGTCGGAGCTGGCCGCGCTGAGCGCGCCGCGGCGGAGGGACCGCCGGGCGGGCCTCCTCTCCAGGAGCGGCGCGAAGGCGCGGGGAGGACTGTGCGTTGCGCGCCACCGCCGGGCGCGAAGAGGCGACGTGGGGTGGCTCGGGACCCTGACCTTCCAGAGAGCAATTTTTTACCACTGGAGGCCCAAAAACCTAAAACATGGAGCGACACGGCCTAAAATCAAGACGTAGACTAGCTCTGGGATAGGTGTTTCCGTCGGGTGCTGTTTTTTAGCCTTCCTGGAAGGTCAGGGGGGCCATCCTGTGCCACCGGGCTGCCCCGGGCCCGTGGGCAGATGTCTGCCGGCTGGCCTGCCCGGGGAGGCCCGACGGAGTGCTGGCCAGCTGGAGATGGCGCGGGCCCCAGCGGGAGCCCACTCCCGAGCTGCCAGGGGCAGCCTCCAGCCCCCCCGCCCCCCCCCCCCGGGGAACCCCTCGCCTCGAGGCGAGCAGATCGGCACCCTGACCTTCCAGAGAGCTGTTTTTTAGCACTGGAGGCCCAAAAACCTAAAACACGGAGCGAAACAGCCTATAAAACCAAGACGTAGACTAGCTTCTGGATAGGCTTTTACGTCGGGTGCCATTTTCTTAGCCCTCCTGGAAGGTCAGGGTAATGGACGGTCGCAGCCCTGCCCGCGCCAGGGCTTCGGCAGCAGCGGCAAGGACCGCCCCCCGCGCGCCCCCCCGCCCCCTCGGGGGGCTCGGCCGCTCGCCCTCGCGGGTCGGGCGCGCCGGCGCGGAGCTCCTGGCGAGCGCGCCTTCTCTCCAGGGAGGACGGGCAGCCCGGACACGACGAGTGACGTTTGCCAGACGTCCCTGGGCGTTTACTCGCGCCCTCGCGGGCCGGACACGACGAGGGACGTTTACCAACCCCGAGCCCTGGATGCGTCTTAAAGAAGAAGCGCGCTTCTTTAAAACGGAGCGCGCGTCTTTATGAACGAGACACGCATCGTTTAAAACTTGCTTGCGTCATTATAAAGCAGCACGCGTCATCATAGGCAGCGTTTTTTGAAAAAAGACGTGCAGGGCGTCTTTTTTGTTTGGCCCCAATTGAAACGTGATATCTCCGTCCGCGTTCTAAGATATAACTACATGGAACCCTGAACCCTACCGCGCCAAGGGCATGTAAGTAGGGAGCAGGAGTGTACCGAGGGGCGCGCGCCCCTCGGGGCACTCCTGTTCCCTACTTGCAATCCTCTTCCACGCCAGCACCATCATTATGTTCGTTCCTCCTCGGCCTCTTACGTACATGCGGAGTTATGCGGTCATTAAATTGTAAGGACATCTCAAGCGGGAGCACGACCTTTTGAAATTCATCCGTGTTTCGACAGCAGTCCGCGCTACGTTGCGAACATGTCTCAGGCAAAACCTCTCGTCAGGAGGTCCGCCGCCTCGCTGAGGGGCCAGACGGGGGGCTGCCACCAGGCATTTCGAGAGAGGGGCAGGCGGGGATCTGCCGCCAGGCATCCTCCAAGAAAAAGCGAGCGTGGGGAAGGGCAGCCGAAACGCCATTCGAATAGCAGAATATCAGACGCAGCAGCTGCAAGGTTGCAAGAACGGGACGGCAGGGCGGTCAAAGGGGCGCCCTCAAGGCATATGTAAAATCAGGGGCGCCCTCGAGGCATATGTAAAATATCTCTGCGATCGCGTACTTAGTACTTCAAATGAACCCATTTTAGCAATACCATTGGCGCGAGATGGTTCGGGTGAAGGCTCTGTGCGATTTCTTTCATGATCTGTTGAAGGTCCTCATCACTGTAGGTCCAGAAATACCTCGGGTTCAGATGGGTCTGTTTTTCGCACAAATGGACGAATGTGTGAAACTTAGGTGTCATTTTCCAGGCTCGGATGTTCCGCCCCAGAGCTTCCGAAGATAGTTGTCCATATATCTGAACAAACGTGGGCCCCAACATTGATAATTCTCGCTTCGCATCGTTAGGCAAGTAGCGATCGTTCGAGTACAGCAGATGGTAGAATCTCGTAAGCAGCTGACACGATGCCAATCTCAACTTATCATGGCGTGTGTTCGTGTTGTGCTGGGTGGCCAAGTGAAGCGCGTACGGCACTAGGCAGCGGGTGGCGGCTGCCTTGGCCTGTGGAGGATGGCAGTGGGGGCGCAAGAGCAGATGAGGAGGAAGAGGAGGAAGATCGATGAAGAGGGGGTGAGGAGCAGGGAGGATGAAGAGGAGGAAGAACGATGAAGAACATGGGAGGATGGCGAGGAGGAAGAACGATGAATACGAGTAGGATGACACCCGAATCAGGCCTTCAACTTCGGCCAATCCTTCCCAGTGTTTAGCCTTGCGTATGAGAGGGCACCTTGAATCTTATGCGGGTCAACTTGCGTGGCATACCACCTCTTCATATCTTTTACCAAGCCGTCCAATTGTGCTGATTGGGCTGCGCCCCAAACTCCAGACTGCATAATCTCAATGAATGTGTTCGCCACCAAGTGGCTGGCGATCCCCAAGTCAATCGTGTGAAGGATATCCACCATGATTCCCTCATACCGCAAAGTTGCTGTGGCGAAAAACGGGCTAATTGGCTTGCCATTCCGAACACATTGGGGAATAAACCCATTGTGGTCGATTCCAGTCCCCCTCCAAGCTGCACGATCGTCAGCGCGGGTGTAGCAGAAAGGGCCTGGTGCTAACGTGGCCGCGCACATGAAACAACAGTTCCGTTCATTCCACCTGTTGACGTACAAATAATCACAATAGAATTCCCAATCACCTCGCATCTGAATGCACGCAAACGTGTGTCCACCGCAGAGAGTGCGTCCTGACTCGGGGTGGCGTTGATCAGAGTTGTACTTTTGATCGGGCATCCGACCATGCAGCAGTGCGTTAAAACTCCAAGCGATGCGATTGATCAATTGCCCAAGCATTTTGTTATTCATCTCGCTCTTCCTGAAAACGGTGATCACTTCCCTCGTTACCTCGGTGCTGCCACTCCCAACCAAGTTGTTAAACTGCAGCGTGAAGAGACCTTCTGTCTTTGTAGTTGGGGCGCCGTCTCCATGGAGCCCCAGTGGGATTGTTGACGGCTTGATCTTTGAAGCATTGGCTCGAAATGATGGGGCGTCGCGCATCTTTTCCCAAAACACTGTAGTTTCACCGGGTTGGCCAGCAATCTGGCCCTCAAAGATGGAACCGTCACTATTTCTCAATGCTTCGAGCGTGTCAATAGGATCAATAAAAGGATGAAACAATTGATGTCCAGCATCGGTGGTCAGTTCAATCCAGCTTGTTCTAGGCGCCGCTCTCGGATAGCCGACGGCCTTCAATGCAGCGTGGAAGGCGTGCCGAGGCTGGGCAGAGCCCCCAGCGTATTCTCCGACGCCCTTCGCCCCTTGGGCGCATGCTGCCCTGGCCAACTCGAGAAACAATGGGCTGGTGATTGTGCCTTTTGCCCATTTCTGACGCAGCAAGTCGTTCAAGGGCGTTGGCTCTTCTTCGGCTGGGGCATCGGCGAGCTCGAGCCTCCGCTTGATGCCACTTCGCGGCCGCGAAGCTTCGTCCGAAACGGGCTGGGGGCTCTGGCATTGAAGGCCGAGAAGCTGGCGTATGCCAGGAGACCTGATAGCATTGCAGTCGGGCGCAGGGACTGCAGGCGCTGATGCCTGCAATCGCAGGCGAATGCCTTGGCCCTTGGGCGCCATGAGAACGATTGCGCACAAAATCATAACAGGGTTCATTATTTCCACGCGATCTGCAACCTTGAGTTTGAGCCAAAGCGGCTACGCACGAGGAGGATGCGGATGAGGCGGAGGGGGTGTCAGGACAGAGAAGGGACCGAATGATATAGTTAGACTGGGCTGTGGAGACGGGTGCGAACGCCGATCCAGGATGGGGCGCAACGTATTTAGGGCAGGACTTGTAGACGCATGCAGAATGAACACGATGGAGACTGATGGCGGACGGGGGGATCTTTCGGAGAATTGTGACGCCCCTGGCGATGATGCGGACGACGGCACCGATGGCGATTTCACCCGAGCTTCATTGCGAGGATGTCTTGACCAATCTCTGGCGTGTCCGATCGCATCTTGCACGCAATCGAAAACTGGCCTCTCGCTGCTAGAA